AATACGCCTCACCAAGGGTGACATCCAGAGCATGTAAGCCATGAGGACAAGGGCAGGGACAAAAGCCCTGACCGAGGGGGCCGTCCAGAACATGGAAGCCATGAGGACAAGGGCAGAGACAAAAGGCCTGACCAATTAGGCCGTCCAGAACACACAAGCCATGAGGACAAGGGCAGGGACAAAAGGCCTCACCAATTGGGCCGTCCAGAAAACGCAAGCCATGAGGACAAGGGAAGGGACAAACGGCCTGACCGAGGGGGCCGCCCAGAACACGCAAGCCATGAGGACAAGGGCAGGGACAAAAGGCCTCACCAATTGGGCCGTCCAGAAAACGCAAGCCATGAGGACAAGGGAAGGGACAAACGGCCTGACCGAGGGGGCCGCCCAGAACACGCAAGCCATGAGGACAAGGGCAGGGACAAAAGGCCTCACCAATTGGGCCGTCCAGAAAACGCAAGCCATGAGGACAAGGGAAGGGACAAACGGCCTGACCGAGGGGGCCGCCCAGAACACGCAAGCCATGAGGACAAGGGCAGGGACAAAAGGCCTCACCAATTGGGCCGTCCAGAAAACGCAAGCCATGAGGACAAGGGAAGGGACAAACGGCCTGACCGAGGGGGCCGCCCAGAACACGCAAGCCATGAGGACAAGGGCAGGGACAAAAGGCCTCACCAATTGGGCCGTCCAGAAAACGCAAGCCATGAGGACAAGGGAAGGGACAAACGGCCTGACCGAGGGGGCCGCCCAGAACACGCAAGCCATGAGGACAAGGGCAGGGACAAAAGGCCTCACCAATTGGGCCGTCCAGAAAACGCAAGCCATGAGGACAAGGGAAGGGACAAACGGCCTGACCGAGGGGGCCGCCCAGAACACGCAAGCCATGAGGACAAGGGCAGGGACAAAAGGCCTCACCAATTGGGCCGTCCAGAAAACGCAAGCCATGAGGACAAGGGAAGGGACAAACGGCCTGACCGAGGGGGCCGCCCAGAACACGCAAGCCATGAGGACAAGGGCAGGGACAAAAGGCCTCACCAATTGGGCCGTCCAGAAAACGCAAGCCATGAGGACAAGGGAAGGGACAAACGGCCTGACCGAGGGGGCCGCCCAGAACACGCAAGCCATGAGGACAAGGGCAGGGACAAAAGGCCTCACCAATTGGGCCGTCCAGAAAACGCAAGCCATGAGGACAAGGGAAGGGACAAACGGCCTGACCGAGGGGGCCGCCCAGAACACGCAAGCCATGAGGACAAGGGCAGGGACAAAAGGCCTCACCAATTGGGCCGTCCAGAAAACGCAAGCCATGAGGACAAGGGAAGGGACAAACGGCCTGACCGAGGGGGCCGCCCAGAACACGCAAGCCATGAGGACAAGGGCAGGGACAAAAGGCCTCACCAATTGGGCCGTCCAGAAAACGCAAGCCATGAGGACAAGGGAAGGGACAAACGGCCTGACCGAGGGGGCCGCCCAGAACACGCAAGCCATGAGGACAAGGGCAGGGACAAAAGGCCTCACCAATTGGGCCGTCCAGAAAACGCAAGCCATGAGGACAAGGGAAGGGACAAACGGCCTGACCGAGGGGGCCGCCCAGAACACGCAAGCCATGAGGACAAGGGCAGGGACAAAAGGCCTCACCAATTGGGCCGTCCAGAAAACGCAAGCCATGAGGACAAGGGAAGGGACAAACGGCCTGACCGAGGGGGCCGCCCAGAACACGCAAGCCATGAGGACAAGGGCAGGGACAAAAGGCCTCACCAATTGGGCCGTCCAGAAAACGCAAGCCATGAGGACAAGGGAAGGGACAAACGGCCTGACCGAGGGGGCCGCCCAGAACACGCAAGCCATGAGGACAAGGGCAGGGACAAAAGGCCTCACCAATTGGGCCGTCCAGAAAACGCAAGCCATGAGGACAAGGGAAGGGACAAACGGCCTGACCGAGGGGGCCGCCCAGAACACGCAAGCCATGAGGACAAGGGCAGGGACAAAAGGCCTCACCAATTGGGCCGTCCAGAAAACGCAAGCCATGAGGACAAGGGAAGGGACAAACGGCCTGACCGAGGGGGCCGCCCAGAACACGCAAGCCATGAGGACAAGGGCAGGGACAAAAGGCCTCACCAATTGGGCCGTCCAGAAAACGCAAGCCATGAGGACAAGGGAAGGGACAAACGGCCTGACCGAGGGGGCCGTCCAGAACACACAAGCCATGAGGACAAGGGCAGGGACAAAAGGCCTGACCAATTGGGCCGTCCAGAACACGCAAGCCATGAGGACAAGGGAAGGGACAAACGGCCTGACCGAGGGGGCCGTCCAGAACACGCAAGCCATGAGGAGAAGGGCAGGGACAAAAGGCCTGACCGAGGGGGCCGCCCAGAACAAGC